TAAAACCTAAGTAGAAACTTAAGGCTTGAGTACAAGTGAGTCATAGTAAGGAGATAATAGATCAGATTTATGTTAATATTTACTTAATCACATCAATTTATTTTATAGTTACGAGTGCCAGACAAGTTCCTTGGAGCATTCATACTGCACTGATACATAGCTGGCATACTTGCTCTAATCTTCCCACAATGCATTTGCGTGCATTTAATACTGCTACTGCTGGCTTCCTGGTGTTTGTGTTTCAGTCCTGCAGAGATCAAGGGTACTTTTGATGTTAGATGATATCTGCCTCTAGATCAAAGGCTGCACTACAGAATATGACTTTATTTTAAAAGTTTCTTTCTTCTTGACAAGAGTAAGAAGTCAGTCAACACCTAAAAGAGATACATAGCAGCAAGTCTAAAATTAACTTATTTCCCTTTGTTTGAATTTAGAGCAACTTTTTTGAATCAGCAGGTAGAAAAAACTCCCAGGCAGAACTACTGCATTTGGTCCCATTATCCAAGAATCTGTAACACAAACACACGTTGCTCCACCACCTCAATGGGACTGTATGAGAGAGTCAGAACCAGGGCCAAGATGCAAAGGAGGAATCACATTTAATATAGGCATCTAACAGATTTAAGATACCTGAAGTCAAAACTTCTCAGCAACAACTAGCCTAACTCACTGCACTGCCACATCCACTGCTGTGCTGTAAAACTGGAAGGAAGAAAGGGTTGTTTAACTGCATAATAAACAGGATTAGATCTGATTTGGTTTTAAGATCTGTGCTACAGAAGAAGGGAGAAGTGATTTTACAGCTGATCTCTTTGTGAGTCAATGTGGTAAAAATCGATCACACCAGTATAATTAAGGGAGAGCAGCAAGGTAGCAAGACGACATAAAAGCAGCGACAGAATGCAGAAGCAAGCAGGCAGAGTACATCTCTTCCACTGAGATGCGCTTGAACCTCCTGGGGAGTGCTCTACCCCTCATAGCCACTGTGGAAGCACTAAAGTACTTATTTTGATAGTGAGCAAGTACTGTGGCACTCTAGTCTCTGTGCTATTTGAGTGCAATAGGTTTTAGCATGATTAGATGAGATTTGCTTGCCAATTTCTTCATTGATATCTAAAGGCCGATTTCAGCTTCTCTTGGAATACATAATGATCAGATGAAGCATCAAATCAAATGGAAGCCTGAGTAAGCTTTCCAAAGTAGTTTTGCTTTACTTGGACAGTAGAGGTTCTTAGCACAAACCATCACTGGGAAACCATCTATTAAAATAGGACAGGGTCAGAAAAAGGAGTATCACCATGCAGAAGCAGGAATATTCCCATGGAAAGAGTCAAAGCTGAATCTTCTGCTGAAATTGAAGAAAAAAATGACAACATCTGGACACTTCTTAGAAAGGACCTTGAAGACAAATCAAACAAAACAATTGAAAATAAAAACCCCTGATGATCAGAAGCTATTAAAAATACAAACTTCACTTGACACTCAGCTACCAATACCCAGCCAAAACCGGGTAAAAGTAAGCAAAATGAGTTGGAAAGAGTAACCAGACTTACACATAATGAGTCCAAAATATTTTTCAGGAAACCAGGGAGATAAGCTTTAGCAAGTTTGGAATTGGCTAATACGAATGAACTGAATCAATGACTTGTACTGGGGATGGGGTGGGGGTGGGAGGGGGAGAGAATCTATGGAGGTTAACTACCGGGGAAGCCAACGGATGGATTCAGGTCAGAAAACACAGGCAAAACAGGATACCTACAGCATGACAGGCTAGGAAGCATTATTAGAGGACTAGGCTGAGAGATTTCAAGAAACTTGCCCACTCAGCTGTCTCTGATACCGTGGCAATGCTGTCTCATCTAGCATCTCGCTGCATAACATCTTGAACTCTGATGTCTGAGTGACAACTTCAAGTACAGAAGTATGCTAGATGTGAAACTGGAGCCAAGACACTGCTGAAATGAAGAGCCCCATCACCTACCTTATGTCAAGTATTACCTTAACACCTTGTCCTCCCTTACTAGAAGGGCTAGAATAAGAAAATTAGCCATTACGGAGGTCTGCATACTTTGCTAAATGATCTGTTAGCCAAATGCAGGCATATATCTCTCCCCTGAAATCACATAAGCTTCCTTTTAATTTTGGGTAGCTTAGACCTGGACAATTCTTCAGTGTGAGCACATAGTACCAATAAGCTAAAAAACAAACTTTGCAAACTAAACGTGAAGCTACTAAATACCGTCTTCTATGGCATATATAGATTTTCTACAAAGAGCTTGCTGCTCTTCTCCTGTAACTAGGTAACAGCGTTTTTTTAAAACTCGTTATTAGTTCAAGTTAACACTTACCATAGCCGGGGGCGGGTGGGGAGGAAATATCTGTGAATTTACATTTAGTAGTATGCATAATTTCAATCCTTTCCTGCATTTTTATGGCATTTCTCCTCTATGCATACATCCACAACTTCTCATCCCCTCACTTGGCCTCCTCATCACACAGCTCACCACTTTGGATTTATTATGGAAAGGAGGAAAGAGATCTCTGAAGGCCGTAGCATCCCTTCATCTGCTCTCAATCGCCATCCCTAACACGCTCGCAGCTCGGGTCCATCCGTGAGCAGTGCTGACAGAGCCCGCACGGTTGCACTAGCCAGTCCCAGTCACCAGGGCGTGCTGCTGAGGCTCTGCAAGCCCAGCTGCTCTGCAGCTGGTGCCTTTCTGAAAAGTCATCGGAAAAGTAGCTTCCTAGTATCATCCTCTAGGGAAGATACAGTAGTTTAACTGCTTAGTTTCCCATATCTTTATCTTTCACAGTTCAATATAACCATTAGGAGAACCTATTATAAGCATGATCTCTTCTGCAATGATTTTATCTGCTCTTTACTATCTGTCCCCTCCTTAAGAAGTTTTCTATTTTACTGAATTCTGTTAGATTAACACTAAACTAAAAACTTCATAACCTTGTCAAGTTTTTGACCGCTAGAAGCTACTGATGTACAGGCCTACTGTAAGAAGTTTTTTTCTTAATAGAGTTACACTAGCTTAAGGGAATTGTATTGCTGATATCTCAGTGAATTCCATTCCCAACTAGTGAGCTCAGAAGTAAACTTATTCCCCATGAGCAAGGCCTGAAGCAGTTGCAACAACTGCAACACACCACTTAGTTTAACACAGCCACTGAACAGTTCAATCAAATACCAGCAGATGAAATGACAAGTAAAGCTCCTGCCACCACAAGAGGAATTAGTCCGCCGCTCAGAAACCCCACCAGAGGTTGCAATTGCCTTGGCCACCCTCCATGTGCAGAAAGACTGCATCAACTTTTGAATCATCTTCAAAAATAATGGCCAGATGTGAAATCTTCTAAACTTTAAGTCTGAAAACACTGACTGCTTCCAGTTCTGCGCATCAAGAAATAAATCTTTATGTCCTGCAACACTAGCGCAATTAAACTTTTTTAAAGTTTACCTTCCATTAACCAGTAATATTAGACTCTGCGTACTCCCTTTGACATAAACTACACAAATAATCATTCAAGTCTGTTCGCTAACAGATAATACTTCATAGCAATTCTAAACATTTGCTACTCTCATGAAGGCTCTCTCGTATCCCTTCCACACCACTTATACCCAAAAAATGACTTATAGATGAAAGTAGATAAACATCAGAAATATTAAGACCAGTTATACCTATCAGAAATGAATAGCATGCTTCCATAATGACACTCACAGTTAAAACTCATACAGCACTTTTTCTATCCCTAGGTAACACGGATGCGTTATCTCCGGTTCAAAGATGGAAAATAACTTCCTTTTTCTTGAAGTACCTTGCCAGCAACTGACAGCAAGACTCAGTATGCATACTTATACTGCAAAATAGGAAGAACACAAGACTTAAGCTAACATTTTTCAAAAGAAAACCAGTAATGCTAGGTACTGTACTATCACCAGAGTGAAGGATCCAGTTTTCAGGAAGGAGTAAAGACTCTCTTTAAAAAAAAAAAAAAAAAAAGTAAGAACCACAGACAAATGAAGTTGTTAGCACTTAAAAGAAAAACACACACACACCACACATACACAGACACTTAGCTACTATGTTCAAGCCTAGAGTACAGCTTTCTCAACTCATGAGACTCATGGGACTTATGAAGACAAAAGTCCCAACTCGTAGCTTCTGCTGACTAGGCTACAGGGTAAGCTGCTTGAAGAGTAGCATTTAAACTGTTTCATGAGAGCAAATATTGTTCGTTCCGGTAATTCAACAGCTCAAACTCAGCTTCCCCCCCCCCCCCAGCAACACCCCCCTTTTTCTCCCAGTCCTACAATAATGTAACAGCCATATAGAATTCCTACAGTGAAATGACACATCAGTGGTGCATTTACACTTATTTAAGATACCCCTCCTCCCACAGAGACAGAGTTTCTATTTCTTCTTCAATTAACATTTAACTATGGAAGCATACCACAGCAATTATTGTGCATCTGCATTTTAAAGGTAAGATGCACTTGAAATATGAATAACTCCACCTGCAAAAAGCCATTTGATTTATCTACGGGCAGAGAGCAGAAATACAAGCAGATGTTTCTTGCTTCTCCCCCAAGCCAGAACACATGAAGGTGTATTACCCACTGTATACCCTGCTCCTACTCCAGGAGGATAAACAGAATTACTGAAAGGTACTGTGAAGAGAAAATACAGGGCCAGATGGGAGAAACAGAGCTTCATTACCCACTGATGCTTTACTGGCTGCCATATCGGTGAGATATCAGTGGAGAAAGCTGACCTGCTCAAAGCTGGGGGGGAAAAAAACACTTTCTTCCCCTCCTTTCTTTTTAAACTACTTTTTGGATTATTGCCCAAAAGCCACTAACTTATTTTAATACTATCTTTTAACATTAACAGCTTTAATATTAAACCGTTTAAAGTATCACAATCAACCACAAGCTAAAAAAGTTGTTCTAACAAAGTTGTTTATTCTATAGAAAGCAAAGTACTACATACCTTGTGCAAGCATGTTAAACTCCAGAAATAATGCTATGTGGTAAAGCTCCATAGCTTCTTCAGCCCTCGTCATGTTGAGTTTTCCTGCTACAAGAGCCTGAACTTCACTTAAACTACCCACTGAAGGGCTGGAGTGCAAAACAGAGAGGTCTACCACATCCGTATACATACAGTTCAAAATGACCTTAGCATATTTTTTTGGTATGATAGACTCATCCAATATAATTCTAGTCGGAGTCCGCAGAGTTCGGTCCGTGATTTCTTCACCGGTTCGTATCCTCCTTTGCAGCAAGTGACGAAAAAACGGAGATCGCGATGAAATAATAGCTTTGTGAGCTCTGAGCTCTTCATCTAGGCAGTTCTGACTTCCAAAGGTTTCAACTAAATCAGAGTTGGATGAAAAGCTAAGAACCACATCATAGTAGCACATGTAATCAAACAGGGCACGCATGTCAACATCTAAGGAATTCGGCGTTCCAAATTCTTCACTAAGCTGCACAAGGATATCAACATTTTGAAACCTTGAATCCTCCATTCCAAACTCTCCTGTATAAAGGTAGTGTAACAAAGCAGAAAACATAGGCATATCTATGCCAGCTGTGTTAATATCCATTACTATTTCTGCCCCATACTCTGGTGAGGAAGAAAGCAGAGTCTTAAAAAATGGACATCTTGCTGCCAAGATTGCACGATGCACAGGAAAACAAGTTTCTTGAAATATTAAGTCTACATCAGTGCAATATTTGTATTGATAAAGATCAGCCATGTCTTTTTGTAGCGTCCTGGCTTCCGGTCTTGCCAGATTAGCTTGCAGATAAAGTTCCTTTAAGGCTGACGTCCCTTCATATTCTTCCACTAACGCATTAACATCTCTGACATCCCAGCCTGAGAGAAGTTCTCGCATCTGCTTGGCATGATCAGCAGATCGGCTAGATTTCCGACGCTTAATGAACTTCTTTTTGAGGGTGGCAAGGCCAGAGGTTTTCTTTTTCTTGTCTTGAGGTTTCTCATGGCCATGGTCAAGGCTATACAGCTTTGATTCACAGCCGTAACCTTGATGAGAGTAGGATGATGTCCCTGAAGGCAAAAAGGAAGATTTAACGCATTTATTCTTTAAATTTAAAAGGAAAGATCATAACACCAAGCCAGTTAGACAACCACTAATGTCTCTACAATTTCAGTTTTTCCCTCTCCTCAGATCAGATAATTTAACAACTTAATAAATACCCGGGTAAGACTCCGGTCAGGTTTTCAAGGGCAAAATTCTTTTTCATGTCTAAAGTTTATGCCTATTCTTTTTCGTACAATTTACCCCTAGTTCTAGGAACCAAGCAATGCCACTTAATGTAGCTTTGTAGCACACAGTATGCTTATCTAAGCAGGAAACAGGAACTGTGGTCAGTGTTGCAAATTCTAGTATAGTAACTGGAAAAATATAAACTTTGTCGAGACTTGTATGAAATTGTAGTGAAATAGCAGCCCCCTTCATCTTTCATGCCTATTTTCAGTTCTGGTCTTCTAGCATTAACTGTCATTTCAATAGGAAAACGATACCTGGTATTATGCATGTATGCACACCATAGTCAAAGATGTGGAACAGAAGGGGGAAGGAAGAGAGAACACAGTACCCAAAACTGTCAAGAAAACTGAGAACAATGAATCAATTTTCAATGCAGGTTTAGCAAGAAACTAAAACCATCACATGACAATCAAGAAATGCTGAGGAGTCAAATGCAAAACAGGCTCCTTCCCCACAGAGACAGAGATGTTAGCTTGTGCATACATTCCATTTAAAATAATACAGAGCATGTAAGTTTTAGAGCTATTCTTTGAACGGAGCAATATACAATTAAATAATACACAATTATTTTTCTTCAAAGACCATTTATATGGTATTATGTCATGAACCAAACTTGTCATGAAATGAAAGGAACAGATTCCTTTCAACGCTAGGCTGCATACCTGACCCATTCCGCTAAATGAATCTTTTCTGAATGTCAAACAATTTGATGTTAGCTATATATACACACACACCAGCAATATAGCTGGTAAGTTAATATGAAAAGGGGAATTAGGAGCTGTGTTTCTAGCAGTAACAGAAAACTGAAGTAATGTTTTAATTAAAAAGTAGTTACAAACTACTGCTGTTAAACTGTATGACTCCAATGCTAAAGGACTATTTTCTAATTTAATTCAGCAAGCTTTTTGGCTGAAATTTGTGTCCTTTTTTTTAAAAAACAGAATTTTCACTCTAAGCCAGATGTTGAACAGTTAGACATGGCAGAAAACATACACAAAACCAAGTTTTTCTTCCAGACAGTATGCTGGAAGACAACAGTTTGCAAATAGTGTGAATATCACCCCTGTAATGATAAACTTGCTGATCGTGGAAAAAGGTAACGTGTCCCTTCTTTTACACCAGCAGGTAGACTATATGTCATAACAAATGAGAAATAAGGAAAAAAAAAGATTCATCTGAAATTGTATTTGCCAAAGTGTTTTTAGTGGAAATTAATTAAAGTTTGTTATTACACTTGTATAACTTCACTACTTATTATGCCCTTTTGCATTTTGAAGTTGACAACACATCCAACCACCACATAGGTTTTGTGGCCTTTTATAACTTCTTTATTATTTTTTTCTCTCACAGGTCCACTTGTTTCAGGTGGATTTGATGTGATGCTATTTTGCTGTGCTACTTCGGGCCAGCCTCAAAATCCAGTGCTTATACTTACTATGCTATTTCAGACAGGTATTTCTTGAACTGTGAAAGACGGGAGCAATTCAAACTTATTTGAGAGCATGGCAACTGTAGCAATCTAAGATTTCTGTAAACTGTTTTATTATTTAAGCCTCAGCAACAATCGCTAAGTAACCTTATAAAATGGCTTTTATGTCAAGCCAATTAAAACTCTCCCAAATCATGCAGTGATGAGTTTTACAACTCATTTATTAGTGAAAGCTTCGGGATGCAGGAAAGACCTCTTCAATCATTTTATCCATGTTACTTAAAGTTCTGTTAGATCAGGCAATATGTTACTAATCATACTGAAATTTCAAGACATTCAAAAAAATAATTTAAATGAAAAGATGGCAGTAACTCAAAACAACTTCAAAGAGATCATGTTGCAAAATCCACCATATAAATTCTTTCCACATGATCTACCAAATCCCTATTTTCCTATTGTTATATCTAGTCTCCTGCTGACAGGGACAATTCTAGAATTCCTGCTCCATTAAAAACAAAACTAAAAAAACAAAAAAAACCCACCCCTAAACAACAACACAGCACAGATGGCATTTCATAATAAAAGGAAAACTGCTCTTTGGACATTCTATAGTCATTCTGCTGAGAGGAAACACGCCACGTCAGTGTTATTTGAAGTATGTTGGATTCTAATGACCAATTTGAGCATGTGGAATATTCTCTTACGCTAAAGAGAAACTAGGGCACCAGAAGTCTTAACTTCTTCCTTCCCTGAAGGCTGCCACGAGGTATTACTTACAAGTGAATCACTCCAAGATACCAAAATGCTATTCAAATCTATGTGTACCCAGAGCTACATACAGGATGTACCTTCAGATATACTATGAACAGCGCTATTAATTATTATAAACAAAGAGGGCTATTAATAGGGCTGATACACAACTGCTTTTTGCCAGAGACAAGAACAAGAGAAGAAAGCCTTAAAGCAGAGACGCATCAGCACAGCCTGTCTGGGTTCACAACAGCTAGCAGTTCCGGATCCCCCAACAACTGAATTTGAGTGTCTCTTTCTCATCTACCTGTACTTCTTGATAAGGCAGCAGCATTAGAAGGAAGAAATAAAAACTTATTCCTCACTTCCACACCAAATGCACCGATCTATTAAATACTGTTCAAAAGCAACAGCAGCTTCATGTCCCTACACCATATCGTGTATTTGAACAGATAAATATTTACAAGAAACAGATGAGTGCCAAGAGAAACTACTTGGGCACTTGACAATGAATAATGGAATTTTCTAGTCCTCTGCATGCCTACACATTTTAAAATCTAATTATAGAGCTGTATTTAAAAATAAATATCTTGAACAGATGTCCCACCTTAGAAAATGGTGGGAGAGCCTCCTTCTGAATGCTGTAGACAAATTAGCAAGAGATGACTAGTTAAACCTTTGCTAGAACGTTTTTTCTTAAACGGCAAAAGCTGTTAATTATTTCTACTTATTTACTTCTTTATAGACTGCAAGCACATTTAGCATTCTTTCATGTAAATTAACATGAGAGCTTGCATTATGAAAACACTGAGTTCTCTGCTTTTACCATTCATCTTCCATGCCTACATTTACACCGTAGCACAATACTATGCTTTAATAGCAAAGCAGCAGTGTCCAGAACAAACCCACAGGCCTGAATCCAATTTCAGGAAAAAGGCAACTAGCACATATTATACAGCCATTACAACTCTAGTCTTCATATTTCCAGTTCTATTTTTAGATTAAGCAGATCTAATGCCTCTATAGAAAAGAACGTCTGTAGAAGTTGATGTATAACATCACAACATGATTATTCTGACAAGTGATGAAACACTGAACTACCAATTTGGAGTATACATCTATTTTCTAAAAAGACAGCCACAAAAACAAACAAAACAAGAGTCAAGATAAGAAAAAAAGCCAAACAGCACAAAGCAGGAAGAAGAGATGTATCTCAGTGCTGTAAATAGCACAATTACTCTGCTAGCCCACTCATGCAAGTGTCACCATCGTACCAAAGGTTTCAGTCAAGAATTATCAGAACACTCATTTGCCTTACCTAAGATTAGACAGACATATGCATTTAGGCTTTCCTGAAAAAAAGTCTCATCTTCAATTTTCATTAAGCAATAGGGATCAGTAAATTTACAGTGACATACTAAATATGGGTTTCTATTTTAGGCTTAATGCTGAGGAGCATCACCAAAGTCTTCCACGCACCAAGGACAAAGTTCCCAGGCAGCTTAAGGAGGCCTTTGGAGCTTCCCCCTTTTCAGAACTCTGCTTAAAAGAGAAGTATTTCGGCGTGCAAATCTGCCTGCTTTCTGGTTAATAAGGGTTTCAACGGTTGCATATACAAGCAGACACATACATCTAAAGGTATAATGCAAGTGTTTTGACTTCCTACAAAAATTGGGACAAATATTTTACTACTCCTAGTTAAGATACACTGAAAATACACAACACCTTAAGGAAGGCTTTACAGCATGGGTATTCAAGATACCAAGATTTTCTTTAACATGCTACTACAAGAACACAAGACTGAGTCCAGAGCAGAGGTCTCCATATGTAATAGTTTGTGTACTGTCTTCTACTCAGGTCTCCAAAACATTACATATGTCATAAAAGCCAAGGGAAAAAAAAATTTAAGTAGTTTTTTCCTCTGCCAAGGACATTGCCACACTTTCAGCGGCGACTAAGAACAGAAGTAACACTTCACATCAATAACTGCTTTAACTGTTTAGTCAATGTCGCAAGCCAAGGCATAAAGGAAAAAAAGGATGTTTATAAAGTATTTGTTATTTACTGCTAAGATAATTCTTCAGAATGTAAGAACATAATCTTGCTTAAAAAAAACCCAACAAATTGCCTTCTTTTAGATTTACTGCATAATTATTATTTATATTGTGACAGATCTACACTGAGGTCCTTTTGTGCTAGACTGAAAAGCACTCAAAGTTGTTACCTGCCCCAGTTATGACTGGGATGAGAAAGTGACTTCTTAACAGCACATTAATCCATGTTTCTAGCTAAGCAACGCCCTTGCTTGTAAATAATACTGCTAGGACAACAAGCACTCCTCCATTTACAAAAACGCAACATAGGCGGAGGCAGAAAAAAGTTGCCTTCAAGACTGCTTGTTACCTTAACAGGCTTATTATCAGAGATATCCCTTCCAGCAATAAGAAATTCTCCCTCCTACTAGACATAGCACCAGTACTGCAATGAACACTGATGACCAAAATGTTATATGCTTTAACAACATTAAAATACACTTCATAAAAAAGATCTAAGAGTGAAAAGTGACAGATACTATTAAGACAGCAACTACTCTTCAAATAGGCACAAATGGCATGTCTTGTTACCAAAAAAACCCACTTTTTTAATTGGCTGGCATGTTTACTAGCAATTGGCAGATCAACGTATTGCACACATAGACAAACAGATATCAGACAGTACCGAATTTCATGCACTTCTGAGCTTGAATGGATTCAAACTGGTGACCTAGAAAATAAGAGCTCTGCATAATACTACTGCAAGCAATTCAAATCCAGTGCACGTACAACCCAGGAAGCTGTTTATATAAGCAACAAGATAATTGAAAAAAGTTACCTATGAACGTCTGTTGTGCCTGTGAATTCCCCCCTACCCTTGGGGAACACGAATGAGGGTAGTTAGATGCATTAGCACCCATTTTCTTCAGTCATTCAGGCATTCCGCCTGCTGGCTCTTCAGTGTATAATCCCATAATCCTTTACAGATCTTCAATCTCAGATCCAGCACTCTGTTCCTCCATTTCTGAAGAACAAAAATACCAGTAAGTTATTTTACTAGTTGTTTTCAGTAGGTATTATGCGCTTCAGTTTAAACAAACTCAGTCTCCAGCACAAAGTATTTTTATACAATTAAAAACTTCAAACATTTTCAAGATAGCTTTTTATTTGGGGGGGGCTAAACCAAGGTCAACATACTTTTTCTTCTGGAATCCTTTCCAAGCCATTCATAATCCAACATAATAAATGACAACACGGAACAGGATGGCAATCAATCTCAAGCTTTTAGCTAAGAAGCCTTCAAGCATGGGTTGGTCTAGACTAGAAGAGATCTGCTCCTTTAACTATACCAAAAGAGATTTTTCATACATGCTTATGCATTTATACGTTGTTATAAAAAGGCTAGCTAGATTCAACTACACTGACTGAGAAGGCAGAATAAGCCAATCCTATTACAAAGATTATACCATCATCACTGCTTTCAGCTACACTTTGGTTTTGTACCAGTTGTGTACTGCTCAGTCATACCTGTCACGTGCAAACTAGTGCCTAGAAGCAAGTTTGCAATAGCAAAATTGAGGTATTTATCCATTATCTAGGTGAACACTTATAACAAACCCCCAAAATCTGTCTTATTAGTCGTTCAAACAAGTTTTTAGGAAGCCAATACAGAATAAATTCGAACAAGGATTCATGCTGGACATACGCACGCAAGCACGTTCTGATTCCCTCTTACATGAAGAGCTGTGTTAAAGCATTACTGCTGCAAAATGAAAGTTAGCAGCCTCTCATTGTGATATCAGCTGAAATGTTCATTCCTATCCAGAACACAGACACAAGTGGACAGATTGGAAAGACCGGTATAACAGTAAAGCCCATACTAAGAATTTTGTAGTCTCTGTTCAATACTGTGAACATGTAGCTAAATTCCAGTGTGTTGGTACCAACTTAACTATAATTTCTATGTGCTCCCAACCTCATCCTCTTTCCCAACACAGTGCTGTTACGCTAGATCAGACAACTATGAGCGATGCGATAGCATGTTTCAGGAAAGTCGCAGCACTGTGCCAGTTTCCTTCCTCTGCTTTAATAATCCATTTATTTCCAAGTTCAAAAATAGAAGTTCTCACAACACTGGAGAGGTAAGACTGAGATAAGCAAAGAGACATGCCTGGCTTCTTAGTCAGAAATGCAGCATGCTAAACAGATCCTGGGGAGCAGAAGGGTGTGAGACAAGCTAGGAGGGAGACCGCTACAGATTGCTTACAGGCATGGGAACAGGGAAGGGGGAGGGGGTAGAAACACAACTGCCAGATGATTAGGGGTCAGCTTACATATGGAAGAAGATAGCAAATAAGAGTTTCAAAACCTGCCCTGGAGATGTGGGTATGAAGTGAAATGGTAAGACACAGACATGTGACTGAAGTATTATGGAAGAGTGGGAGGGTGCATAATTTCCAACCATCTGGATACCTTAAACCATGGTTCCTAGGACCCAGAAGTCAGGCATTTTTGTTGTATAACACAGACTTTCAAAAAAGAACCAGAACTTTTTCTGCTAGACATTATGAACTTTAGAGTAGGGATTCTGCTTACGCTTATAGACCAGGCCTATCTGACAAAATTGCAGTGTGAGCACTAGCCGAGTCCTCCTAACAGCAGACAACTGTAATAACACAGCAGCTTTATAGCAATTATACAAGACAAATTTGAGCCAACCTGCAGCTTGCATATGTAAAGAGGGGGAGCTCTCATTCCCTCCCTCTCTAACCAGGTGGTAATGTCTCCTCACTTGCACAATCTGGTGCTTTTCTCGACCTTGTTGCTAGGCAGATTCAGGTTGCCAGATCATCAGAAAATAGAAAGATAAAATACCTTTCCGCTCAAATAGAAAGTTGAGCATGCTCAGTATGAAGTTAAAGAACCAGAGCACACGCGCGCGCGCACACACACACACACACACAGAAAGACACCACCATACCCCTTCTCAAATACAAACTCTTAGATCAGTTCAGTCTTATCACATATATTTACTCATTTTCTTTCTCATACAGAAATAAGGGTATGTTCTAGCTACCCTAGAATAGCTTAATTCCACACAAAAAGCTCCACTGATTTAAGAAAAAGTGTTTAGGAATAACTTATTTAAAATAGTGACATCCAAACTAATTTGTATACCTACACAGAATACATTACATTGATTTGCCATCCATTTCTAGACGAAATTAATTACATTTAGTACAAGCTATGTGGAGACAGCAGTCACTTTTCAGTGTGAATTCCAACTCTCTCACACGGACCAGCATCCTGGGTAGCTATCCCAATAGCTTCCTTTTTCTTCTGTTTTCTTTTGCCGAAGGAGCTAAAGTTGGACTTAGGCCATTTGGACAGAGTCCTGGAATAGTGCCATTTGTTACTCCACTTTGCTCTCTCATATTCTGCTGTGGTCTGCTAATTTGTCCATTAGATGCCTAACAATATTTTTCAGTTCTTCCTTGCAAGGGTAAGAGCTAAGAGCTAAGCAACATGAGTCTCAAACTACAGAACTGCTTAAGAAATACAGGGAAGTATGCTGAAGTGATCTTTTGCTAACATACACGAAATACACAGGGCTCAGAAAGTTAAAGATACCAAAAGGAAGAAGGAGATGGGAGGTAAGAAGCATGCCACAAAGAGAGAAGAACAAGATCAAGGAATAGGTATTAACAGTTCAACACCATTAGACATGCAGTATTTAAATCTGCAAAGTAACAGGATTTAAATTCACTGAAAACAAACACTAAAACAATTCCTAAAGTATACGATAGATAAACTCATTTCATTCAGAGGCTAACCTCAAGAGCTGTTTTACACATTTTAAGCCCAACTGAATGGCATCAAGAGTGAACTCACTCGCTACGTTTCAAGTATGAAAGTTAAGGAAGTAATTCTACAAAACATAGGGCAATGCTCAAACAGTGTCACACTAACACTACTATACGTAGTTCTTAAACATGCCACGCTTCAGTGAAGGAAGAGCTCAATACAATTTAGTAGAGTAGGTACCATGGCCTGCCGTTTGCCTCTTTTACACATACAAAAAACTTCTTGTGCCTCCTTTCAAATTTACACGTGACCAAGCAAGGTATGGTTATTTTGTTCAGTATTTTGTATCTTGAATTCAAACACATTCTGCTTGATTATAAACTGTAATGTGCCCCATGGCTCAAAACTGATCACAAAAATTTTAATCACACTACTGTCCTTAACCTTATGAATCAACCAAAAATACAGTTTTTAGAGTGATGTAACAGAAATCCAGCTTTCTACTCTTTTCCCTTTCTTATAAGACAATATTATATAACCCATATTTTCCTAAACAATTTAAGCTAGCAGCAGTGATGACTTTGCCCTGGAGGAAGCCCTGCCTTCCACCATTTATTCTCAAAAGCCACTTTCTCTGCCTTGTTTATTCTGGCTCAAGTCCAGCGAGCCAGATAAATCCACTCATGTTAAAAACCAACACAATTTTTTATTTTAAGAAAATATTACTTATATGATTTGTTTGTTTGTTTTTAATGGCATCACATGGACACTTGTGCTAGCACAGGTAATAAAAAAAGAGGGGAGGGGGAAGACATGGAAACAAGCTCCCAGAACCAGGACTGCATCTTTTGACAGTGAGGCATACTTGAACCACTTGTAGATTTAGGGTGGTTTTCAGTGTCTACTCTTAGCTTTTATGCTCTTACTAAACATAGCCAGTTTGCAAATACCTGCTGAGCCTAGTATGAATATAAGAACATCTCAACTACTAAACAAAATGCCAAATCAAGAAAGCTGTTTCCCCATGGTAGAAAAACAGCTGCAGTATGAGATGAACAGGAAAAAAAAAAAAAAAAAAGAAACCCCAAACCACAAACAATTAGATCCTTAGCTGCAAAAGGAAAGATAGATTTCATTTTTCCTTGCAGAAGTTATCCTGAACACCAAAAGCTTCCCTACTTTAGACTTTAAAAATTCTTCTTTAAAAATTTTGAGGCTAACTATAGCCTCAAAATACAGGCTTAGGTTTTTTGTTGTTGGTGGTTTTTCTTTTTTTTAAATGGCAAGTGAACTACTTCTTAGTTTTCATATGCAGCCATGTAAGCATTATTAAAAGGAAGCTCAAGTCAGGAAGTCAGGATCTGATGACCTTCTGAAACAGGTCTTGTTGAGGACAGCGATGCACACACTGATGTGTGTTGTGCATGTATACATACATACACACACACAAAGTTAAACAATGTCAAAGCTCTTGCTTAAAAAAGCCTGCAATGCAGGAAGTAGTATATGAAACCAAAAAAGCTTTAGAAGTCAGTTATTTAAAATACTACAGGAAGCACAGAACTGACTTTCAGATTAAACTGATACTTTGAATAGGAGAATAAAATTTAGAAATAAACACAAACGTAGTTAAAAGTTTCAGTACCTGAAATAAGCTTTTCAGTCTTCTGAGTACTTGTCAAACTTCATGAACCCAAAAGCCTAAGAACCTAACACAACTTGCATTTGATGTATCTGGGCTGACAGCCAAGAATCCCTGGACTGGGAATTTTGGTTTAAGAATAAGTCTGTATACAGACTAGACTTTGGGTAACAGTTACACTTTGTTTATAGTCATCACTCAATACAAAGCTTTCCTGAAGTTTTCTGTAGTCTGCTGGGAACTAATAAGATAAAGAACAAGGTTGGGAGTGTTAAAACATGCTTTACAGCTTCAAATAAGATTTGACATTTTTTCCTCTCCCTCTAAAATTTTGAGAGCTTTTTATATTTCTTCTGAAGTCATTGCTATGATATTATGAAATAATATAAACCTAAAACTAAGACAGGAAGATATATGAAGTATACACATGTACCAACACGATTTTATAGGTTTTATGTTTTACTTAACACATTTTAAATTTACTGCCAGAAAAATGACAACACAAAACAAGTATCACAAGCATACCTTATTCATATTTGCTTACATTTTTATCTAGACTAAGAACGATAAG